AAGAAATTCGTTTATGGTTTTCTTGGAGTTAAAAAGACAAAAACGACTGATTTAAATATTTTTCCCGTCGGCTAATTCGTAACAGCACTGTATAGGTTACTAAAATAGTCATAACTTCTTACTCAGAAATTGGATTGACTCAAAATTGGTGGAGTTGGAAAGTAGATTCAAATATCTTTAATTGGATAGGTTATGTCTCACGTAACTCTTTATATTCTAAGAGATATGGTCATTTAAAGTTGACCCAAGCAGAATCTTACATTAAAACTTCATGAAACTTCAAGAACACTTATCAAGAACTCATCAAGAACTCTAATCTTTAAATTTCAAGAACGAAATTTACGCTTGAATAAATCATGATTGGCGTGTGGGTGAAGGAACCCAACACTATGGAAGCTTACATACCTCTTAGGGATTAAACCCATGGTGAAAATCCGCAACAAGATGCAAGAATCTCGACGAACGCTTGATCCTCTCCTCTTTTGTCGTCTTCTTTTCTCTTCCTTTCTCTCAACTAAAACCTTAGGCGTAAACTAGGATTAAAAAACTGAACCTAATAGTATTAGACCCTTAAAATATTACTAAAAACGAATTAAATCTGATTGGGTAAGGAAAAGACCAAAATACCCCTTACTATTTCCGGTTAATTTTTCTTAACTGGACAGCCTATCTTCAAAAGGCCATATCTCACTCATCCGACCTCGAAACTGATAAAACTCAGCGGCGTTGGAAAGATAATTCAATTATCTTTCCTACGGTAACTGGTAGAACGCCTAAATCATCCTGAACTAGGAGTTATGGTCGTTTGAAGTCAACCCAAAACTCATACTTAGCTTAACTTGTAAAATTTCAGATTTTGCTAATTCCAATTTAGTTCTTTTTGGAACTCAAGGTGCTACATCTAGTGACCTTAACACTTAAATAAAATTTTAATTCCTCGGTAAAATCCTACTCACAACGAAGGATGGTTCAAGTCTTAGTTCGAAAAAATTTCTGGAGTGTTACATTCTGCCTTGGCATAAACTAGGTCCCCTTGTGAGTTCCTTAAGCAAAAGCCATAGGAACTTAAGCCTGGATTCCCATTCGATGCTCCATTTGTATTACACTTCAATTTATCAATGTCTGGAGGTTTTCAGATTACACTGTGATAGTGTAGTTTTGGTTTGTAGCTTTTTTGCACTTCCACTATATCAGACCAGCAGTAGTTAATCTCCAAGTGTATCCAAGGGTATACATTGTTTAGTAACTTTTTTACTAGCTCTTGTATCTGTATCACCATCCCATTAAAAGTGGTACTTCCCCATGTTTAATGTTATTCCTCCTCTTCCATAATGTCCACATGATTAGCGTTGACATTGCTCTATATACCTCTTGTAGTTTTGGCGAGGCCTTCTGCTTCCACCATGCAATGATTATTTGTTGCAAATGCATCTCTTTCATTTGTATACCTGCAACAATAGCAAAGTGCCTCCACAACTTTTAAGCTATGGAGGCTGTTAGAAAAACATGCATCATTGTTTCCTCTTCTTTTCTTTCACAACACCATCAACCTGACACTAGTTGTATCTTCATTTTCTTCAAATTGTCATCTGTTGGTATTTTTCTCTTCCACACCCTCCACATGAAAAAATTAACCTTGAAAGGGATTTTCGTATTCCAGATAAAAGCATAATCTGCCCTGACCTCTTGCTTCTTTCTTATTAATTCCCAAGCTGATTTAACCGTGAAGGCTCTTTGTGTATTCCCCATCCACCAAGGCACATCGGTCTGATCTGCACCAGGTGGCCTTGTATTTTCCACAATGTATTCCACCATTTCTGTTGACAATTTTTTCCTAGCTTTTGGTCATTCCATTCTCCCCCTTTCACGAACTGTCTAACCTCTACTTCTTCTTCACTAGAATTGTCACCTTCTGTATAGTATAAAGCCCCCGTCTTTATCCAGTTATCAAACCAAAAGCTAGAGTTCCCTCCTTTCATTTGCCACCAGATTTCATGCTCCATTTCTTCCCTCATAATTATCATTTTTTTCCACACATGAGAGACACCCCATCCCATAGCAATGGTTGGGTGCACCTTCTTACAATACTTGTTCCACATATAAGAACCCCATAGATATGAGGTTGATGTTCTGAAAATCCATCATAACTTTTAAAAAAGGGATTTGGATACATCTGTTAGTGATCTGAATCCCAACTCCCCTTCTTCCTTCGGGTAGCACATGTTATCCCAGGACACCCAATTTTTATTCTTAGATCCAGTGGCCTTCCCCCAGAAGAACTTTGCAAATAGTTTGTGTAACTGTTCAATAATATTGATCGGAGGATTCATAGTTGATTGTAAATACATAGGCATTGACTGTGGGACATGTGTAATCAAAATATACCTTCCACCAAAAGATATGAGCTTGTTCTGCCATACTGTCATTCTTATTGCTACCTTCTTTATCAGTTCTTCAAAGTGTCTTTTATTCTTCCTCCCATAGAAAATGGGGAATCCTAAATAAGTGAATGGGAAGCTACCTTGCCTGACTCCAGTTATTCTCTTTATCTGGTTACACACCACCATGGGTGTATTTTCATGTAAGTAGCAAACGCTCTTTTCTATGTTAATCAGCTGTCTAGACACATTCTAATATCTTCTAAGTACCCTCATCATCATTCTCATTGATTTAGGCTGGCCTGAACAGAAGAGGATCGTATCGTCTGCATAAGAAAAGTGATTTATGGTTGGGCTCCATTTAGGCATCCCAAATCCATTAAATCACGTTTCATCAAAAAGAGAATTTAAGCTCCTTGCCAAAACTTCAGCTTCAATTATAAATAGAGTAGGTGACCGGGGATCTCCTTTTTTAAGCCTCTTGATGATTGAAAAAATTCATACGATTGTTCATTCATCAAAACAGAATACCAATTATTGCTAATTAATCGTACTACCATGTCAATGATCCTTTCTGAAAATCCAAACCTCCTCATTACCTTTACCAGATATTTCTAGGAGACTCTGTCATATGCCTTCGCCATGTCTAATTTTAGCACCATATTTTGCAAATTACTTCTCTTATTGATATCCCATACAATTTCTTGGGCAAGGAGCACGTTTTCAGTTATGCTCCTCCCTTTCACAAAGCTTGAATGATTAATAGAGATTAACTTAGGTACACTACAGAGATTCTCTCATGAATAATTCTTGAGATAATTTTATTAGCAAAGGTACTAAGGCTTATAGGTCTTAGATCCCCAAAATTTTCTACCACCTCTCTTTTTGGTATTAAAACTAGATTTGTATGTGTTATAAATCTTGGAAGCTCATGTCCACTGTAGAAAGCCCTCACCATATTCTAAACATCATTTCCAACAATCTCCCAACAAATCTAGAAAAAGTGTCCTGAGTAGCCATCATGTCCACTAACACTATCCATATTAAGCTCAAAGACCACCTATTTTACCTCATCTTTAGACGGGACCCTTTCCATTTCCAGATTCTGTTCCCCGTGATAATTTTGGGGATATACTGCAACATAGAATATTTTGTAACCTCCTGCGTTTCCCTGAACTATTCTCTGAATACATTCACTGCCTCATCACCTATATTTTGAGGGGTCGAAATAATGTCACGTTGCATTGTTTTGATTTCTTTGATATTCAACTTTCTTCTTCTCCCTTTCATATATTCATGGAAGAACTTGGTATTTCTATCCTCATCCTTGAACCAACGCATTCCAGCCTTCTGCTTCCAGAAATCTTCTTCAATTTTCAATGGTTTCTTTAGATCTGCATTTTTCCTACTAAGCTCTTCTCTATTTGTGTCTGTTGGGGCCATCTCGAATTGTATCTCTTTATCCTTAATGACATCCTCCAGTGTTGCAATTCTTTGAAATATATTCCCAAAAGCCTCCTTGCTCAAAAGCGATAACACTGCCTTCAGGCTTTTCAATTTTACATGCATGATGGTAAAAAGAGATCCACTGACATGTACCTTCCAACTCTCTTCTACAATATTTTTGAAGTCTGAATGTTTGGTCCAGAATTGTAGGAACTTGAAAGGTTTAATTATATGTACCTGATCTGAGTTACACAACACGTGTAATGGTGCATGGTCAAACCCCCTTCTTATAAGGTGATGTACTTCACTTTCAGGCAATATATTCATAAACTAGGTGTTATTAAAGACTCTATCCAATCTCTTGAAAATACAATCCTCCTCAATTCTCCCATTACACCATGTATATGTACTTCCCGTGAACCGCAACTCCGTCAATGCATAAGAGTTAATGCATTGGATGAAATCATGTGTTTCTGATTGTGTTACTGGCAAACCTCCCAACTTCTCTATCTCATCAACTATAGTATTAAAATCTCCTCCTACTAGCCATGGATAATTTTGACCAGCCATAGCTTCAAGGTTCTCCCAAAGTTCCAACCTTTCAAGAATGATGCACCTAGCACCTAGCATAGACGACTGTCACAACGAATCTATCTTGTGTTCCTCTTAAACTGAAATTCATAGTGAGTTGTTGTATAGTATCTGAATTACCTTCTTCCTCCCAGTTCTCATCCCAAAATATCCATATCTTTTACGAACAGTTAGCCCTAGCATGTTGCAAACCCAATTTTCTTTTATAATTTTCTATCTCTGAGGGGTTTTGAAAAGGCTCTAGGATTGCTATGTATGAGTAGTGATGTCTTCTATTTAGATCAATTACTCTCTCAAAAGCATTTTGAGATTTAACTGACCTAATATTCCAAAATAGTACTTTGTCTATCAAAATTAGCGGATTAAGACTAATTATGATACTATAGTCAATTCAAGAACTTAGATCAAAAGTGATCTAGACCCCTATTACGAAGAAATTAGAGACAACAATTAGTATAAGACTAATCGCTTTCTTTAATTTACGAATAGAAACCAAAGATATCAAATTAAGAATTAATATTACCTCATAAAGAATCATTCTTATAAGGTTGTAAGATAAATCCATAGTCACCACACACAAAGGTGTAAAGAAGAAAAACCTCTCAAATAATATTAATCATGTATTTCTTAGTCACCTAAAGCTCACACCAAAATTATTCAACCATTGTCGTTTATAAGGTGTAGTGTGTTTAATGCATGTAAGTTTCAACTTCTCCACAACGTATGAACTTACCACATTAGTATCACTTTCACTATCAATAATCATAGAGCAAATATTACCATTTATTCCACACCTTGTATGAAAAATAGTTTCTCTCCTTAAATTAGCTACGGTTTTTAAGGAGAGAAACTATTTTTCATACAAGGTGTGGGATAAATGGTAATATTTGCTCTATGATTATTGATAGTTAAAGTGATACTAATGTGGTAAGTTCATACGTTGTGGAGAAGTTGAAACTTACATGCATTAAACACACTACACCTTATAAACGACAATGGTTGAATAATTTTGGTGAGCTTAAGGTGACTAAGCAATGCATGATTTCTTTCTCCATTGGGAGATATTCCGATAATGTTCCTTGTGATGTCATTCTAATGCAAGATTGTCACATCATGCTTGGACGACCATGACAATTTAATAGGAATGTAATTCATGATAGAAGAAAGAATAGAGTTTCTCTTAAGCTAAGCAAAAGAAAATATACACTTGCACCTTTAACCCCATCCCATGTTTATAAAGATCAGAAACGCGTGAAAGAAGCAATGGAGAAAGTTGAGAGAGAAAAAAGTAAGAGGAGAAAGGGAGTTCACTCTGACATTTCAAGAAAGGAAAAAAGAGAGGTCAGTTGTGTGAAGAGAATGAGATGTCAAGTGAGAAAAAAAGTGAGAATGAGAAAAAAAAAACAGAGATGACCATGAGAGCAAAAAATAAAAGGATGATAGTGAGCTCGAGAGAGAAAAACAAGAGAGTTTGAGTGAGGTTATCTCTTATTCTAACTCTAGCATTCTTACTTCTTCTTTTAGTTGTTTTGACTCTCTTGTAGATAGCCATGGGAAACTATGCATTGAATAATCAAAGTCATTGGATGAACTTAATTCTAAAGTGGTTATTACTACAAGTCCAATTGAGAAAGTGTATGTTGATGAGAATGATAAAGCTAAAGAGAATTATTTTGGATCTGTCCAAGATAAGGCGCATAACAAAAAGTTCAACAAGGCAATTGTGGATCTAACACCAATGAGAAAGGGAAAAAAAGGTGATGTTATTCCTTTGCTACATAAGACCAAGTATGGCATGTATAATTGGTTCCTTCACATTCTTGGTATTCCTAAAACACCTAAAGTCTTCTTGGAGGTAATGAACTACACTCTTAATTCTTATGTTGGTGACTTCATTGATTTTGAGGATGATGATATTTTGATGTATAATAAGTCACTAACTTCAATCGACAAGTTCAATACGAGTAATTTGAGCTCTTTTAAAGTTGAGCATGACATAGTTGATTGTGGATTTTCACTTGTTGAAAAGAGGTGTGATGTTTGTGCCTGGAAGATTATGAATGAGTTAGTTGATTCTTCTCTTATTCAAGTATTTTTGTGTGATAACTTGTTGGAATATGATTCTTTATATGTAATGAGTCATAATTCTTCAATTGTTGCTTATTGTGAGTTGAAAAGGGTGCTTGCTACTAGTGATGATGAGGTACATGATTATAAGCACTTCAATGCTTATTTGGATAGAATGTATATTGAAGAATGGGTGAATAGTATTAATGTGGAAGAATCTTTAGGAGGTATAATTGAAGATTCTTAGATATATCATAAAAGTAGCCAATTTGTTGCATGTTTTAGGGATCTTGTATCCTCTTTGTCATGCCCATTGGAGTACTTTATTGATAGAACTAAAATGAAGTTGCATGTATCATTCGCAAGGGCATCTAGACAAGGAGTTCGTTGTGTTTATATAAGTAGAAGAATTTTCTATTGGGATGATGATGTTCACATGCTTTATAAGGGTGTATTTATACATGTCAGGATTAGTTGGGTTAAGTGGACACATGGTCACTATCTTGTTTTGTTCCTACCAAGCGGACGAATTGTTTTCAAGAAGAGGGGAATGATAGCATCCACATTGGCATATTCCATTAAAATTGATGGGCTTCAATGAAAAATCAAGAATATATTTATCACGGAAGAAGTATCCAAATTCAAGCCAAAAGGAAGAATATTGGGCCACACGAAGCCCAATAAAAGAGCCCAAAAAGCTGAACGCTCAAAGTCAAAGTTTCCTAGTTTAAAAGTTTCATAGTTTACAATTTTCTTGTTTTCCTAGTTTAAAAGTTTCATACTTTAAAGTTTTCATAAAAGTAGGATTTAAATCCCATTCTATTTGGGATAGGTTTTCCCTATATATAGGGGTTGATTTTATTATTTTAAGGACATACATGATTAATATTATTTGAGAGGTTTTTATTTTTTTACACCTTTGTGTGTGGTGACTATGAATTTATCTTACAACCTAATAAGAACGATTCTTTAAGAGGTAAGATTAATTGTTAATTTGATATCTTTGGTTTCTATTCATAAATTAAATAAGGTGATTAAACTTATACTAATTGTTGTCTCTAATTTCTTCGTAATAGGGGTCTAGATCACTTTTGATCTAACTTCTTGAATTGACTCTATTAGTATCTTAATTAATCTTAATCCGTTAATTTTAAATACTAAGATCAATTAGGGTTCTTAGCACTTTATCTTGAAATTGGGGATTTTATTCTTGAATTTCACATATCTTTCAATTTTTGTATTTAATCTTTATAATTTCGCTTCCATATTATTTTCTTGTTTATTCTGGTAACCCAATTATTATAACAAATTATGAAAATGGAAAAGGGCCTAAAATACCCCTCAACTATGCGAATTGATACAATATTACCCTTCTTCTACCGTTCGGGCCTACAATGCCCTCGACATCAACCTTTTGGCTCTATTTTGCCCTCATTTTAACGAACTAAATTATAATCTCAATTAACAAATTTATTAATGACGTGTCACCATCCCACTGGTTATCTTAACAATTAATTAAAATAATTGAAAGACAAAACTCACCCTCCACCCAAAAGCCCTACCCGTAAAATCCCTAAATCTTCTAACCAAACCTAAATATTGGCATCTTGAGACTTGAAACTTTAAAGTGATTACAAAGTGGTTTTCTGCGTCTATTGGAGTTTCAAGTGTCAGAATGGAATTTCGTCGATTCCATCAGTCCTATAATGTGAAATCTAATTTGCGGTAGTTGTCAGTTTCAGATTCGGAGTTTTTTTAGGATTTGAGGTCCTAAGTTGTGAAATTGTGGGAATTTAGCTTTTGAGTTGATTTTGGTCAACATTTGGGGTTCGGATGCTCGTATCAAAATTTTGGGAGTTCTGTTGGATTCGTGGGATGATTTTAGGCTTAGGGTGGTCTTGTTGATTTTTGTAACGTCCCGAGTTTGTTTTAGCCTTTTTAGGCATTGAGTTAGTTTCTTGTGGCTTTTACGGATGTCGGGTCAAGAAGACCCTAGATTATTTTTCAACGGTTACATTTAGTTCGAACATCGAGTATAATTGATTAACATACGTGATTTCTGTGCATGAGAATCTGCACGAATCCCGATGATTGATTTGATGTTTTGGTCTAGTCTGTGTTTTCTAGTGCTGCAGGCCTCGCTTAAGCAAGACCCGAGATTTTTAAAGCAAACCCCTGGTCACTTTTTTGACATTTGAGAGGAATTTTACCTGTCATTTTTGGGGTTCAAGCCCATTTTCCATTTTTGAGCTTGGGAAACTCTTGGTGGTGATTTTTAAAGGATTTCTTGTGCTAAATCATTTGTGTATGCTTTCTTGATCCTAATGCTTCATTTTCCTTTAGTTATTTATGAATTCTAATATCAAAATTTGGGATTTTTATTGGTAAATGAAAAGGTTTTCAAGAACTCAAGCTCTTAACTAAAATATAGATTGTGAACTGTTTTGAGTTCCTTTTCGAAATAATCTTCCCCAATGAGTTCCTGAAACCTTGAGTAATGTTTTCAAGTATTAAATTTCAAATTTAATCTTTGTTTTTGAAATCAGATTTTGAGTTTATCGGCCTATTTTTCAAGAAATGAATATGGGTATGGTTGTTTTCAAAAATTTATTGTGAATACTTGCTAGTATATAGATTGTGTGGCTTCGAAAGTAATTCGAAAGGGGAAGACTCAACTCTTGGAGTGATTTATCGATTGATTTAAGGCAAGTGATCTCTTAAACTTTGTATTCTAGTAGAATCTGTGTATTATCTTCGTTGTTTGTGTGTTGGGAGTACTGGAGATGAGGTGAAGGGTTAACTGTCCATGTAATAAATCCTAATGAATAAAAAAGATTTGAAATTGAAAAGGCTATGTGATGAACATGATGATGTGAATTGTCTTGTTATGATCCTTATTGATTGATTGATGA